TGTAAGTATTTAGAAACAAACAAGATGATTAGTAGAAGCGAGAATAACAGGGATGGAAGGCACCTGGGAGATCTTCTCGTCCAACCCCCAGCTTAGGCAAGAAATCCTAGACCATTTCAGACCAATGGCTGTCCAATCTCTTCTTAAAAACCTCCAGTGATGAAGCATCTACAACTTCTGGTGGCAAGCTGTTCCACTGGTTAATTTTCCTCTCTGTTAGGAAGTTTCTCCTTCGTTCCGGGTTACTTCTCTCCTTGATGAGTTTCCATCCTTATTGCTTCTTGTCCTGCGTTCAAGGGCTTTGGAGAATAGCTTGACCCCCTCTTCTTTGGGGCAGCCCCTCAAACATTGGAAGACTGCTATCATGTCATCCCTGATCCTCCTTTTCATTAACCAAGACATGCCCAGTTCCTGCAACTGTTCTTCATATGTTTGAGCCTCCAGTCCCTTAATCATCCTGGTTGCTCTTCTCTGCACTCTTTCCAGATTCTCAACATCTTTTTTTTATAATCTGGCCACCAAAACTGGATGCAGTACTTTAAGCCAGACAAATTTTACCACTTTATTATTATTTTTATTTTTAAATCATAATCTCTTCTTACCTGGAACGACAAGTAGAATGTGTGCCACTGACGGTTCCAAAACATGGTGATAGCTGTTAAGCCAGTGACGGAGAGGAAGAGGGTGAAAAGTGTCACACGCTAAAGAGATCAAGAAGGATTATTTATTGATTTATTTTTGAATATATATTTTTTATTGTTTACATATAAATGTCAACTCATAAAACATTTCTATGACTGTTTTGGAGTTGCCACGAGCAGAAGTGGGAGGGAGAAGAAATTTAAAAGAGCAGTGCAGCCGTTTGGAACTGAAAGTGCATTCCATTCGTATCTTGCAAAGATTATAACTAAGCTACCACAATTTCTGCAGTGCAAATCTCTAATTGGAGAACGTGATTGATGACTCTGGGCTGTGAGCGTGTTTCGCTGGAGAATATGAATTGTGATGCACCCAGAAGGGTGGTGGGAAACCAGGGTCAAGGGGGACCGTGAATTACACGTCTCAGAACCAGCTTCGTACAGGTCACGCTGACATGTTTGCTCCTAATAAATCCTTTGAAGTTTTTGAAGCTTGGCTCGAGGCTCATTGAGAGAATATGATTAAAAATAAAATAACAGACTGTGGCAATCAGAGTCTGTAGAAGGCTTTATTGTAAGATATTGCAAAACCGGACCCCAACTCCCAATAACAGATTAGGAGAAGGAGACACTTCCTTCCAGTCATTACAGCCTGATATAGGATTATCGCGCTTAAAAGATTACATAATATGTCCTGTTTTTCACACATAGAAGTTATACAGATTCTCCTAAGAAAGAAATAAGTAGTCCTGGGACTACTTTGGGATTGCTCTTCCCAGACTCTTTCCACGGAAGTCACCTAATTCTCCTCATCTTCATCATGATCATCAGATATCCTGTTATTCGTTTAAAAGATTACACAAGGGATCATTAAGAACCTCCTAATGTCAGAGCAACCTAGCATGAATCTCAAACGAAGCCAAGGCCACAATATTTTGCAATTTTTCAGAACTTTAGCAAAATAACGAGTTATATAAATGTTCCGATCTCTAGAAGGTCAGATTAAGAGCAAAGATGGAATCTGTCTTGTTCTTTATATTCTTAGGTGTATAAGGTAGATTTTCACAGGAAACACTCATGGTTTAATTTAATCCTGACAGCAGGGTTGGATATTGAACACAGTGTAAATTGGCCATGGCATTCCATTTGCCATAAAACAGAAGTAAAAACAAAATAACATATAGGCAAATATATACATATAATGACCATCATATCATATGTCAACTTCTCTATCATTGTAATACTTATCTATCAATAATACAAGCAGTGTTTCTTTCCAAGTCCCCCTCACCTGTTTCTTTTGCCTTCCAACTTCTACCTCATCTTTCTAACCCAGAGGTCTCCAAACTTGGCCACTTTAAGATTTGTGGACCTTCAAATACTGGAACACTGCTATAATGTCACCCCTAATTCTTCTTTCCATTAAACTAGACATACCCAATTCTTGCCATGTGCTTTATATGTTTTAGTCTCCAGCCCCTTAATCCTCTTTGTTGCTCTTCTCGGCCCTCTTCCCAGAGTCTCGCCATCTTTTTTATAATGTGGTGACCAAAATTGGTATTCCAGGTGTGGCCTTACTAAGGCTTTATAAAGCGGTACTAATACTTCACATGATTTTGATTCTATGCCTCTGATTATCAGCTGCTGCTGCACACAGCTGGCTGATGTTTAAGTGATCATCTAACCAGGACTCCAACATCCCTCTCGCAGTTACTGCTTTTTAGCCAGGTACTGCCTCATAATCTATACCTGTACATTTGGTTTTTCTCGCCTAGGTGTAAAATCTCCCTTTTTTTTTCCTACATTGAATTTCATTTTCCAGGATTGATTTTCCCAAACTGGAAGGAGGTGGCCATTCGGAAGGAAGTCAAATGAATTTACCTTATGGCACCAGTGCATTTCCAACTCTTTACTTTCAAAGAGTAGTAAAACTGCTATAAACTGTAAAATAAGAGCACAGGCTTAGTTGTAGCCAACCGTTGGCATGGGAAGAGGAAATTTATGTATTGCTAAATTTAACAAATTGTTAATAATGTATTAATCATTAATATGAATACATAAATATAGGTATTAATTTTTCCCTAGCAATCCATGGGTTTGTGGAGGGAGGAGGAGGGCGGGCAGTGGGTCATTGGTGCTCTCTGAACTTGGCTGTTTGCAGACATTGCATTACCCAACTAGGTAACATTATCAGGTTCTGCAACAACACAACCAAGCTCAGAGAGCATCAAGGACCCCACATATGGAGGTGTGTCAAAAAAAAAAATGAGGTAGCAGATACAACCAATGCTTGCTACTTTTTGTCAATGTTACAACACGTGTGTTTAAAAAAGGACTGTTAGCTACTGTTTTCATTCATCCATCCGTTCGTTCATTCATTCATTCATTCATTCATTCCTTGACACTCTGTCACTCCCCTGGACACCCCAGAAGTACTAAACTATTCTATATTCTATTCTATTCTGTTCTATTCTTATTCTATTCTATTATTCTATTCTATTCTATTCTATTCTATTCTATTCTATTCTATTCTATTCTATTCTATTCTATTCTATTCTATTCCTTTCTATTCTATTCTACTCTACTCTATTCTATTCCTTTCTTATTCTATACCTTTCTTATTCTATTCTATTCTATTCTATTCTATTCTATTCTATTCTATTCTA